AGGTCCCTTCCAACTCTAACCATTCTGTGATGTCCTAAAGCCAAATACATGGTCCTTGAATTGAGAGTGACACTTTTGGAGAATGTTAAAGTAAATCTGTTGGCTAAGTGAGAAGACAATCTCTCTTTCCATATGTACTGTTGTATTAAAAGGCTATTTACTCTTCTCAATCGCTGCCTGATGAGCTCCTCATTGAGGCACCCCCCTGACAGGGAGGGTGGTAGGTATAAAGGAAGTACTTACCTCGAGTGCTGTGTTCAGTTCTGGGCCCCTCACTATAAGAAGGATGTTGAGATTCTGGAGCATGTTCAGAGAAGAGCCACAAGGGCTCTGGAGAACAAGCCTGATGAGGAGCGGCTGAGGGAACTGGGCTTGTTCAGCCTGGAGAAGAGAAGGCTGAGGGGAGACCTCATCACCACCTACAACTGCCTCAAGGGAGCTTGGAGAGAGGTGGGTGCTGGTCTCTTCTCCCAGGTGATGGGGGATAGAACAAGGGGAAACGGCACCAAGCTGTGCCAAGGGAGGTTCAGGTTAGAGATAAGGAGGAAGTTCTTTCCTGAGAGGGTCGTCAGAAGCTGGAACAGGCTGCCCAGGGAGGTGGTGGAGTCACCATCCCTGGATGTGTTTAAAGAGCGGGTAGATGAGGTACTTAAGGATATGGTTTAGTGGGTAGACAGGAACGGTTGGACGTGATGATCTCAGAGGTCTTTTCCAACTGAGCGATTCTGTGAAGAACCTTGGGCTGTCCAGGCTCTTCACCTGTTAGCACTGATGCCTATTTTAGCCCTTTAAACCCATAGTTAAATTAAAAGTTAACTTATTTAATTCAGCGTTAATATTGAAAATTGACAGCTAACATGGTTAACATTAACATTTGGTTTAATTGAACAGGGTCATCTGGCAGCTCTATGCCATTCCAGTGCAAAAAAAAATTCCCTTCACATAAGTTGCAGAAGGATTGCATTATGTTTTGATGACTGAGATAAACACTGCAGAGTAGTGTTCTTTTGGTACCGTACTACACACACATGAAATCTATAATTGTTTTAAAACTAGCAAAGATGCCACGATGATAGAGTTAATTTCTACATAGGTTTTGATACTGAAGGAGATAAAGCACGTTTGTTTATGTTGCGTAAGAAACTAGGCCTTGCAAACTCAAGAAATTCAGAGCTGAAGGACACAAAACTGCTCATGTACCCATACCCAACATACTTAAGATTTGTGCGCAGTTATGTGCGTGATTATCAGGAAGGAAACACTGCAAAGCAAGGAAAGCCCCAAACCCTCTGAAAATACGACCTTTTTCCTAGTATGCACACTGAGTTTGAACTTAATTTTCACTTCAGTTTTTCTCTCTTAGAATTAGAAAAAATAGTACTTCATCCCAAATGAGGTTTTATTAAGAATAAAATACGCTTTTTTAGGACAAGCAGGAGGTCTTATTACAGATCTGAAAAATCCTTTTAAAGATTTGATGCAGTCCTCTATAGGAGCATTCATAGGAGCAGTCCTCTATGTACAAGTTAGTCTGGATTCATAAAAAGGTGAGAGGCCTATAAATGACAGGTTTTGTTTGATTAATGAAAGCAGCGAACCAAAAGACCCCAAACATCACAAGTTTGTTTTGTAGAGTGACCAGAGGAATTATTTCCAATGGGTTTATTTTGCCTCTCAAGGAATTTATCATCGGAGACGTGAAGATAAGTCATTGACTCATGGTCTTTCTCTTCCCAGACTTCTCCATGTAATTACAGGCATAGCTTTTATCATGTTAGACACAAACCGTTTACAGGAGATTTGGGTATGTTTTGGTTTGTGATGCCAGCGGATTGTTTTGCAGGTGAAAAAGTCAACATTCAGAATTTTACTTGAAATTCCAATGCAAAACTTGGCTTCAAATCGTTTGGTCTCCAAGCCAAAGAACACATACATTTCTTAAGTATTTGAAAAGAGTCTTTAAAGAAAAAAACATCACTAATCATAAATTGTGGACAATCATTTTTTAAATGAACGAGGCCCTTAATTTTGACCTATTAATATGTACAACTACAGTCTCTTACCATGATTTAGATACTATTTTAGAGGACCTTGTAAATAAGGGGGAAGGAATATTTTCAGTAAGAAGCAATGCTGTTTGCTTGACATTGTTGACCTCCTTCAGAACTTTTCCATGTGATTTTTAGTGTACAGTTGTTTTCATTTAAATCCCATTCTTACCTGATTAACTGAAATTCCAGTGTCATGTTTGACATTAAAGCTTTAGTAATAATAATGCAAATTCATTATTATGACTTCAAGAGAACTTTTGCATACAGAATTAACAGTATCTCTGAAAGCAAACACAAAACAAATTGGCATACCTCTCAAACTTAAACTCGTGCATCTTTCAGTATGTCTTCTGAGTGATTGATTTTAAGGTAATATAGAAAACGCGTATTTCATACAGAAAATTTGCTTTTGAGTTTTGTCTAAGACTTCATTTCAGCATGACTGAAGCAAATAATTTTAACTGGAAAACTTTTTAGGAGCATACTAATATTGTCATTAACTGATCCTCTAAAATTCTAAGTGATCTTTTACTGATTGTGTTTGCTTTTTATTTAAAGGGAGAGAGATATGCATGGTAATCTGACTTTTAGGAAATACTTGATGGCGATTTTTAGCTCCTACGTAATAACCGGTTCTCCTAAAAGTAGACGCTGTTCAGATAGTATTTTTAAAGGTCAGTTTATTTTGCTATACTTCAAATTATTCCTACAACTACAAAGGAATTACTTTCAAGAAATGAAGTGATCTTTGGTGCTCCAATGTAGTCTATTGGCAGAAGAAGCTTTGCAAGCCTCATAATTTGGAGAAGGGTTTTACTCTGCCTGATTCATGCATATCTCTCTCTCTCTCTCCTTCTGTGCTTTAGCTCGTGCTCTAACACTGTGTTAAACAAAAGGATGTTTTTCTGCCTTGTATTTGAGACAGTTAAAAGCTAATCCTTATCTATGGTGTATTTTAAAGTGTTCTCATTGATTAATATAAAGACTTGCTTTTCTTCCTGTGCTGTCTCTGCAGTTTATAGGATGCAGTCATGTTATGCTTCTTTTAATTTTAATGACCGTTTGCTTTGCTTTTCCTTCTTTTTGTGCTACAAACATAGTGGATTTATGGTCTGTGGGGTGCATTATGGGCGAAATGGTTTGCCACAAAATCCTCTTTCCAGGAAGGGACTGTATCCTTGTGCTGCTGCAGCAGGTTGAATTAGTTAGGAAGTGATTAACCTTTTTATTGATGTTGTGTCATGAAAATGCGTATTGTACGATTTTTTTTTTTTTATTAAATGAACATGGATTTTCTTTTCTTGTGATACACTTAAAAAAAAATTAAGAGCTTCATTTATATTCTAGCTGCACCTAGCAGTAGGACATAGTCTCTGCTGGTCCTGTAGTTAGCATCCGTTCACCTTCGCTCGTTTTCATTACACACGCTTTTTATAGTCACTTCATGTGTGTGTGTCTAGATTCTTTTATTTACTTTCTTTTAATAACTATCTTTTATGTTAATACCATTGCATTTTGTTTTCAGTTGACATTTGGTCAGTTGGGTGCATCATGGGAGAAATGATCAAAGGTGGTGTTTTATTTCCTGGTACAGATCGTATCCTTACCTTTGGCCTAGGATGTAGTTGTAAAAGGTCAAAAGATACTGCAGCAATACAGTTCCGGATTAAGGTGGTTCTACTTTTTAAAGTACTGTTTTTAAACTGCCTTTTCAAAATACAATTTGCGAGCTCGTTATTTTGGTTCCAGGAAGCTGCAGAAATGTCTACAGTTGTACGATTTAAAGCAAAACCACAACAGAGCATTAATGAGTATGACTGTCTTTAAAGATTAATACTAAGCAAGATGAACAAAATACCACTTGGGCAAGCAGGCTTATTTTTCTTTTTTTCATTTTTCCTTTTTTTTCCCCCCTCTTTTTTATTTTCCTTTTTCCGATTTAATATAGTGTCTATCCATTGCTTTTGGATGTCGTCACATTTAAGACAGATTTCTTTTGTTTAGGTGGTGTTTTACTGGTTCACGTGCATTGGGTTTTGCTTTGGAGATCATTTTTATGTAATAAGTAACTAATCTTGTTTACTACTCGAGCATGTTGGCAGTTATTCTTTACCTTTTATAGGAAATGTTCACAAAAAATTCCTAACCAGCTTCATTAGTTACACTCTGGAGTTCTATATTTCTGTATGCAGCATTCTTACTGCAAACAGCTTTCAGAAATACCTGGCACTTCTCTCCTTCTGTTCTTTGAATGGCTTGGTGGTATCTGAATGGGTTGTCCTGTCAACACCACTTCAGAGAAAGGGTCTGCTCTAAGCAAACAGAGCTGAAATCTGTGGATCATCGCTAAAATTAGTGGATCTGTTTGGAATGTGGCATCACTCCAGTTCAGAAATCTGGTTTTGCTGCAAGTTAACTGATATAGTACTGTTTAGGTGAAGACTGGGTGAAGATTTTGAGGCAGATCCTGGGCACTTTCCAACAGCTCTGTCATTGTATGAGCTTCACCGTGCTTAGCTTTATGCATCTGGCTTGCTAGCATGGCTTTTCAATTTAGGCTCAGTGCCATACCATGTAAATACTTTTATTTATTTAATTTTTTTTCCAAGGCCTGTACCAAAGCACTGTAGAGCTTGAAAATCCTCATATAAAGGTCTGCTGTTAGTGGGGAAGGCTGCTACATCTGACTGAAGGTTTAGGTAGCCCAGTATCCAGTCTTTGATGGTAACCAAAAAGAAAAAGTTGGGGAGACAATATGAATAAGTATATATAAAATCTTACCTGAGTTTTCTCCCAGTGTCTAACCATTGAACTGTGCAGGCTGAGATTTCACCCTTTGTGTGCCCAGTGGTGCTCCACATTGTGTGTCCTTAGTGAGGGATTGGTCCCCTGGGAGAGTCCAGGACTGGGCTGAGTTATTGAGATGAGAGCGAAGGACAAAGCACCTACACCACAGGGTAATTCTCACGAGTGCTTTGGTGATGTGTAGCAGTTTGACTACTGTGGATACGTGTTCAGATCAGGAAGTGAGTTCTTCTCTAGAAGCCAAACAATGCCTTAATTTAAATTTGTTTAATAAATTTCATGAGTCTTTTAATAACCTCAGAAGTATATCCTTTGCTAGTTAATTATGATTCCAAATCAAAGACACGTTGCCTTGACTACTCTGTCATAGGCTTGCCTTGTTTCTCTGTTTTCTCTGAGAAGGCAGTCCTGATTAATAATGATGAACTTGATATTTGATTGTCATATTCTGTGTTTTCTCCCTGTTGGTCATTTCACATGGTTTTAACATAACTTTCTAGCTGGAAATCAGACACAGTGTTTTTCTTAGCTGGATAACCTTAGATATTGATCAATGGAATAAAGTTATAGAGCAGCTAGGGACACCATGCCCCGAATTTATGAAGAAATTACAGCCTACAGTCCGAACTTACGTGGAGAACAGACCCAAATATGCTGGCTACAGTTTTGAAAAACTCTTTCCAGATGTCCTTTTCCCAGCGGATTCTGAACACAATAAGCTTAAAGGTAAGGTCTCTCTTTTGTGTATTGTGTATTTCAAAACTTTTAAAACTGTGATGTATTCAACAGAAATGTTATCTTGGTTTTGTTCACTATAAAAATCTACCACTAAGGATTTAAATATTGCAATATTTTTATCATAGGAGAGGGTGAATGTGCAGCTTACTCTGCTTCCTCATCTCTCTGAAGCAGCTCCTATTCTGGAGTTGCCCTAATAAAGAAAAGTAAATGCATATATTCCTCTCAGTGACAGATGCCAACATGATTTAGAGAAGAGTGGAGCAGGGTGCGTGGAATAGAAGTTGTGTAAGCAACTTCTTCTTTCTCTGAGGATGAAGAGAAAGTTTTAATACTCATGATACATAGATACCCTGTAGTTACTGAAATAACTTACTGGTTCTAATAGTCACCTACTCAGTGGAGCCACAGACTTACCATATTTTGTGACTAATATGTGACAGTCTTTCCCCCGTAAACTGTAAGAGAGGTGTCGTAGGTGTTTCCTGCTGCTATTCCAGACAAGGCTGTACTGTATTATGTGCACTATGTACCCACTAGGCTAAGCAGGAAATCTCACTTTTGCAGCAAGTCAAGCAAGGGATTTGTTATCAAAAATGCTGGTTATCGATGCTTCTAAAAGGATCTCTGTGGATGAAGCCCTGCAGCACCCATACATCAATGTTTGGTATGATCCATCAGAAGCAGAAGCTGTAAGTTCTTGTTTTAGGTCTCTGGTTAGAAAGGTACTGTACTAAAGCAAACTTTTTGTGAGGCTTGATATAGCTGCTTGGAAGAAGATTATTGCATGATCTACACATTTCACTAAAAGCTTAACTGAGCCATAATAATTTTTAATAACATTGATTGATTGACACGTTTATGGGTGCAAACTTGCAGGTAGCTGAAGTACCTGTGCCGGGGTGTGTGTGTGTGTGTGTTTGTGTATAATTGCATATAATCTTCTGGACGTGTAGTAATGTATCTGTAATCTTTTATATAGGGGTCTGATTTACTGAGCTTCAGTTGTTTCATTGTGGTTTGATTGAGTAGGATTCTGAGGTATTTATTCTTGGGCAAGATAAATATTTTCATTAGTTGTAGCAGTTGACAGTGCTCTTAAGCTAGAAATAGGTGTTTCAGCAAAATCTGAGCACAAGATCTGAGCTTACAGTTATCACACTAATGGACAAAAGGATTAATTGAAAATTTTTCTTAAAAAATTAATTTTAGGACAATTTCAGCATGTGACAAAAGTCTCATTTTTTTAAGAGAAAGGTGGTTGGTGATGGGCCACTAAGAATAGAAAAAGATGCTTGTTTTAAATGGTGCAGTTAGAATTCTGCTGACCTGTAATAGCTAGAGGGGAAATGTAGTAATTAACAGGACGCAGGTAGAAAGGGCTGCTTGGGCTGGAGACTGCTGAACTTAGGAGCATTTTTACCAGACTGTTCAGTTTCTGTTTTAGTTATTACACTAATGTAAGCAGATTTGCTAATCACAAGTTTAAAATATCTAGCAGCATCTAGAAAACAGACGGCGTATGAGAGAATTTATGACCATGTAAATAGAGTGATTTTTTTAAACTGGGTTCATATTTTGAATGCTTTGTTTTAATTTTTAATTTATTCTGGGTTTTATCCCTTTTTATTGCTTTATCATGACTTAATTTTGTTTTTCAGCCCCCACCAAAGATACCAGATAAGCAGTTAGATGAGAGGGAGCACACGATAGAAGAATGGAAAGGTAAGGACATTTAAAATGTACTAAAGCTTTTGGACAGTAGGCTGGGCCCCGAGGATTACTGCTGAGGTTCTTCTGAACATCCTAACAGTATATACTTAAACTGCTTGGAACGGCAAGGGATAGATCAGTGCTTTACAACCTCTGGATTTTCGGGACACTGAAAATCTTTCTATGAAGGTGCTGAAACTTTTAAGTGTGAACTTAAGAGTGAACTTTAAGTTCACTCAGTTGTAGACCTGCTCATTTCAGTCACCTTTTGTAAACCATAAAGCAGTGTTTTTAGGGAGGGTAACTCCTCTGGACAAACTGTTAACAGTTAAAAAAGAGGCAGGAGTTTGAGCAGCGTAAGTCTGAAGTAGAAGCACTAATATGCTTAAGGGAAGAGCATATTAGCAATAACTGTACTCTTTGAAATCAAACAGAGGATTTGAAAGCAGCAGCCATAAAGAGTGTTAGAAATGGGCAAGATAGTGAGTTACAGCTAGTGTGGGAGGTGCTGATGGTTACCAGCTGTGGGATCCTGGAAAAGCAGCTGGGGTTGAGGTGTGGAATGGATCACAGTATGACATAATAGTCGTACCTCCAAGAGCATGATTTTTAGTGTTCAGAACTGGCTTGGTATCTGTATTTCCTGGCTGCATATGAGGCATAAAACGATAAAAGTATAAGGGGAGCAAACATCTTTGTTACTTGTAAAGCTTGTGCTTCATTTCGAAATGACTTCTTACAGGTCCAGTGTTATTGCAGAGGCTCTAGTGCAAAGAAAACAATGCAGATCCAGATTGCTGTGCAGGCTGTAAATGTGGCATCTAAGCAAGAATTTAGCGCATTGGACGATCTAATACTTTGTACTGAAAAAGTCTAGAAAGGGATATTAGACCTGTGTAACCTTTTTATCCCCAGAGGAAAAAAAGCAGGGAAATGTTTCATGAATAATTTTTGACAGTGTCATTGCGTTGGCTGGTAATGGACACAAGTCTGTACAACCTAATTCAACCACACTTAAGTCGTTTTCCATTGGAAACGGAGTTTTACTTGTAAAGGCAGAATTACGGGAATTCTCTTGCCATCCTCCTTCCAAGCAAAGTTATTTCCCTTTTGAAGCAGATGTGCTTGAGGGTAAGTATTTCAAGCAGTCTGGAGTTTACTTTTGAGACTCCTACAGACCTTGAAATTATAATTGTTAAATGCTTTTTCTCTCCAACTGTTTGTACATTGCGTTAGTTTGCCACTGACAGATAAGAAGCAATGTTCTGAAAGTCAGTTCTTATGAGTTGTATTTAACATGTTTAGTCCTTTCTTTCTTTTGTTACTTCTGTAGATTCACAGCTGAAGGGTTTTTTTGCGTAATAAGCTGCCACTAGCCTAGGAACCTTCTGGCCAGTACACGGGGCATATGATTCATGTCACAAGCACTTCTAACCTGTTTATGGATGAGGAACTTCTGTAACTGGAAGATAAAGTTGCTGCTCTCACTTGGAGTGGCTGCTTATGTGCCAGTAGCGTATTCCATTTCATGGTGATCTGGACCTTTAGATGTTGTTGCTGAGGAAATTTAGTGGCAAATGTGTGTTGGGAGGATGTCTGGGCTTGTTCCTGCCTCTTCCTTTGAAGACGGCTGATCGAGTGTCTGTGCCAAAGCAGCCGTTGATAAAAACTGAATGGTCATTACGACTCAGCTGAACCTCAGGACCCCAGGCAGCCTGGACAGAGGATTCTTAGAGCAATGTCAGTGTGTTCTTGAAAATGCCAGGCCATTGTAGCTCCAACAGAAAATAACTGTACGTTTTTATGTCACCTCCCAGTTGCTCTGAAGGCTACAGCCTGTTGTTCAAAACTGATTCTGAACAGTAATAAACCTGTGAAATTGAAGTATACAATGGGCAATGTATTATCAATCCAGTCTTGGGTTTGCAAATTCATTTTGCCTTCCTTTCTCTGCATTTTCAGAGTTGATATACAAGGAAGTCATGGACCTGGAGGAGAGAACCAAGAACGGGGTTATACGTGGACAACCAGCCCCTTTAGGTTGGTTACAATAAAAGCACAGTACAAAGCTACGTTGAGTTGTAGGTCAGGAGGGAGTGAAGCTGTTCAAGACATCCAAGAGTAGCCTAACTCAAAAATATGCCTTTTAAACTACCAATAACCTCTTGAATTCTCTGAGATATTGCTTATTTAAATAGAATGTATGAGGTTGACCTCTCTTTCTATTAACCTGGTAAACTCCTCTATTATTTTGCCCGTGTAACTGATGATTCATTCATTTCGGTCCCAAGAAACATCTTGGTATGTGCTGGTACTCTGCTGCCATAACCTGGTTAGATACGTAACTTGTAGCTGGCATGGTTTCAAATAAAGATATCACTACTACTTGGCATCTGTTAAGTAACAGAACAGGATTTTCAGCAACTTTCTGAATTTTGGAACAAAACGTGCCCCTTAACTGACCATTGATAGGACTCCACTTGCACTGGTGATGGCAGAAGTTGGACAGCTGTTGATGACTGCTCAGAGTCTGCTAGGCTGGCTATTCCTTAGACTGTGCTATTTTTTTCACTTAATCTGTAATCAAACCCAAACTGTGTAGGATAACACACTGTATGCTTATATGTGATGTGTAGAATTGTACTCTCAGGTTGAACTGGCTTATATCTATATGGTGGAGTTTACATTATTTTTCTACACCAAACATATCTCTGGAAGAATTCACTGTACACTGAAACATGCAGCAATATAGGCTTATTTCTGCTGAATGTTTACTTTGAAATTTGGTAGACAGTCAGAAACAAAGTAAGTAGCATGACACATAAAGCTATATTAAAATACAAACGTAAAATAACAATAAGTCATCAGAAGTAATCGAATATTAGAAAGGGTCTTCAGTGAAGACCTGAAGCCTTCCTTCTTAGTAAGCAATCAAGAGTATAATGGTTCAAAAGGAAGATTCAGCTAACTACTTATGTGAGAGCTGCTCATCAGTAGATGTAGCAGACTTCTAATCTGACCTTAGTCCTCTAGGAACTTGGGAACCATATGTGTCCAGACTGTGAAAAATCACTGTGTGTCTGAGATTAAATGTATGTGTTGTGGCTGGACACCAGCTATTTCCCAGCCTGAAGGGGAGGGTCTGATGGGGAAAAAAACCAGGCCGCTTCTTTCTTTATCAAAATTTGTAGATACATGCTAGCTTTGGGTTGCAACATTTCGTAGAGTATCTTGGCTCTGTCTTTATGTAGGGCTGTCTCTGTCTGTGATTTAACTTTCAGCTATTAGTATTTACACTTGACGGGTGTCATGCCATGTCAGTTCTGTGATTCCTTGCCATACCGTTCATTAAGCCCCACCTTAAAGATTTGTGAGGTTTTTAACTTTAACAGTGGATTGAGACGCATCTTTTCAAACTTGCTGAAACAGGGGGAAGTAGTGACTGCTAGGAAGAGAGAGACCAGTGCAAGTACTGAACCATGCAACTGTATCTGCAACTGATTTGCTGTTTTGTTTCTCATAGCACAGGTGCAGCAATGATCAATGGCTCTCAACATCCATCTTCATCGTCATCTGTCAATGATGTGTCTTCGATGTCAACAGATCCAACATTGGCCTCTGATACAGACAGCAGTCTAGAAACCTCAGCTGGACCTCTGGGTTGCTGTAGATGACTACTTGCTCTTTTGGGGGGTGGGAGGGGGGTCCTTTTAGTCATTAATAGGGCACCTTTAAAATTCAGTGGTATTTTTGAGTGTTTTTTCAAAAATAATCGTAGAATTCATCATCAAGTGCTGTAAGTTGTGTTAAAAGCAGCTACTTTTTTGCTGTAATTAACTGTAAAATATTAAACCTGATAATTTTTATTGTGGTTTTAAAATCTGCATATTTGCTTTACTATTATGCTGCTGATCTTTTTTTACTGAATTTGTAAGATTTGTTTTATCAAAGCACATATTAATGTTGTGGTCATTACCGTATAATGAATTATTTAAGATTTTATAGGTTTTCAATTTTTTAATTAGAATTTATTCCAAATGTTTTGTTCATGATATCCTTCAGAGTTTTATGCTTGGTCATATGTTCGTGTCCAGCTGGAGGGGAGAGGGAATACAGCGCAGCCAGCTGTAGTTTTGGGCATACTGCTACGGTACTGGCGCTGAATAAAACCCTTTTTTATTTTGGCCACTTGCCTACAGTACTTCAGCAAAGGCAACAATTAGTGAATTTTTTTTAGGGAAACAGTACACAATCCTTTGCAAAGTAACCTCATCTGTATGGTTTTACGAACTGAAGCAAGCAAAGCGTATCTTCAAAGCTGCAGAATTCTCTAGCCTAACAAAGTAATGTGATGTTTTCTGCGGAGCTGTGGCATGCCAAATCTTACGATCACCATAAAACATGAGGATACTTCATGAATAATACATTGCAGTGCAAATAAACTGTTTACTTCTAGCTTGTAGCCTGTTTTTGTACACACAAAACGAAGTGTATCCAGGATGTCTAGACCGCCAACAGGGACATCGAATGTGCTGTAGCTGTATTCTCATGTAATACGCGATTCTTTGGAGTTCTGTTTCTTACTAGTTTTGTCTGCTAAGGTGAGTGCTTTTTGGGTAGAAGAGGGAGTGACATGAATGCAACAGGGGCAAAACTTCAGCTGTTCTTTCTCCACCGAAAGTAACCGATTGCTAGAAACCGTGAAGTGGTAGAGAACCTCAGGATTTCTGCAGCTAATGCATTAAGTGAGCAATATTTGCCATCCAAAGGAGGGAGAAGTAGTGCTGTATAAAATGATATTTATCTCTTTTATTTCACCGTGAGACCAGTGTAGCAGAAATCTTAATAGTGGTTCATTTTAAGTCATAAATATTCAGTAGTTTTCAGCGCTGAAGTTCCAGGTTTCAATACGCTTTTTATAAAAAAGATATATTGAAATATATCCGAGTTACTAAACAGTCATGTAAAATGGTGCTGCTCCTCACAGAAGTATTTTAACTGTTTACATTTTATATTTACAGAATGATTTATGTATAACTGACTTAAGTTTATGTATGAGTTAAACAATCATTCAGAATTTATTCCTTTGGAAAATGCAGATTTTTAGTGAAGCTAGGCTGTATAATTGATTGCCTTGTGTAGATGCATATTTTGTGTAGTGAATTAGACTGTGAAGAGGGATTTAAATTAGTAGTGCTCACAAAAATGAGCATAAAAAAACACAGAAGTCTCGCCAGGCACAGAGCATAAGCAGATCATGTAACTGGCGAGGTTATCCAGGAATGACTGATGCTCTTCAGTGTGGTTCCTTCTGCTTGTGGGGTTAAATAGGTATCTTCTTGAAGTTCTAACTGAAAGAGGAAAACTTGCCTTTGCAGTAGGTTTCAGAGAAAATAGAAGTGACAGTAATGTTGTTGAAATCTAACGTGTCTTTTTAAAAAACATACAGGGTTGCAAGGAATAGCAGTGTCTCAAAGATTACTCAATTGATAAACTGCACAGTTGTTTTCCTGGCCTGGCTAGACTGCTGGTAAGTGCTGTGTGTGTCATTTTTGCTTTCCTCACGTGTATCTGATATTTCAGTATTGCCTTTCTAAACCACGTTTGTTAAGGCAGTTATTTTTGCGGGATCCTGCCAAATTGTGTATTACCTCAGAACAGGCAGGACGCGTTTGGATTCATCTAGCACTGGAACATGGAAAATCTGCTCAAGTTGAACAGAGACCAACAGAACAGTCGATTTTGTAGGTTTTTTAATCGAAGTTTAAGCTGTGAATTAAGCCAAAATTTTTGGTCGTACGACAGTACTCCGTTGTTATTTAGAGTTAAATGATATTCTGGTCAACCCAATGTAATGAAGTTAAGACTGGCAAAACTAACTCCTGATGCCTGTAAGTGCTGTAAAGAACAGAATTTGGTAAATGTAATTCCTCCTTAAATGTGTTTTGGACCCCTCTGGATTACAGTGGTGACTGAAATATTTTAAAACTTCAAAAGAATTTTTGTTATCGCTTTACAGTGTCCTAAAGAAAAACTGCTTTAAAACGAGTATTGAGTGAAACGGTCACTAGGCTTTTACCGCAGTGTGTTGTCAATAGCGACTTCATGGAGTTCAGGAGCTCTGAGGACCATTGAGCTTTTGGTCTTTTAAGGTAGGGTTGATGTATGCAGTGTAACTGAGCTACGTGAAACAGGATTACTGTGATAAGGCCAGAGCTTTGCCTGCAGGAACCTAGAGTTCTCTTTTGGCACCATCTGCATAGCACTGTTGCTTTTTTGTAAAATTATTTTTTTTCAGGTGCTTGCATTTTAGGCAAATTAAAGTGATGGCAAATTTCAAAGACAAGAAAATCAGATTCGGTAACCGAATTATCACAACAACATGCTAGTCTGAAGTTCCCTTTTTATTTGTTGAAATATAAAATGATTTCATAGATAGTTGTACGCTGCCACAGATAGCAAACAAATGGGGAGCTAGAGTTCAGCTGTGTTTGTCTATTGTTGTGTTGTTAGCTCATATACTATCTAATACACTGTACAATTTAATCTTAAATTATTATTAAGCTATATTTTAGTGTATGATTTCAAAATCTTCTCATGACAACAGGCTTCACTGAAGTGCTTTCCTCTTCTTGGGCTGTTCTAATCCACTGGGAGTTGGTAGGGAGTGAATTACAGTGAGCTGTGCCTGATTTCTTATATCAGGTGAGGTTAAAAGTTGAGCAGTACTAATAATAATAATAATAATTATTTTCACCTTCGATGGTCAGAGGTGTGGCAGGCATCAAGGATAAAATAGCTCCTCTCCTGTTGTAGAAGTAGGTTCGTCACGATTTTGAAATAGAATTGTGGAGGGAAATAGTAATTACTGTGTGCTGCACCTCTGTGAAGTCTTTTGTTGATGGAAGACGGTGGGGTCAGAATAGAGGTTTTTGTACATTAGTGTGTGTACGAGAGATCCATCAGCTGAACAGCCTTGGACCAGCCTGTCTGACCTGGACGCTGCTATTGCATGAATAGCCTTGGCACTTTTCCCCATGTAGGCACTGTGCTGCTTGGCTTTTTAGCTGAAAAGAACCTTTCTGTGCTTTATGTAGTAGTATCTTTCTGGATAGGCATTCCAGCTAGACACAAAGGTAATATCGGCATAAACTGTTTGGGGAGCCCCCCTGCCAACACAGGTGTGAGTTTAGGGGAGGATGCAGTGGTTGTGGCAACAGCACCCTCTGCTGCCTCCGTGTCCAAGTACGCGGCGTGGTACTGACAGGGGTTTGCTTCCCTGGATACACGGCTGATTTCGTTAGCGAGCCAAAATTAAGCACCTCGACAGGCGTTTGCATGAACATAATGCTCCTGCGTTAAGGTATATGGCATTCATCTCAACACTGCATGAAGAAAAACGATCAAACAGCCAGTGCGGGTGGGCAGTTCCTACCTATCCAGTCATCCAAAGGGAAAGACGTTAAATGTTTCTCAGTTAAGATTTCGGGGCGAAGGGGAGAAGACAGTTCAGCTTACACTTGGTCTTACTGTTTCAAGTTGCTGAAGGAAGTGAATTACTGTTTCTAGATTCATTTCATTTGCTGTTGGCAGCAGCTTGTCCATGCCGTTACATTTTATTTTCCTGTCAGTGTTTTGGTTCTTACAGGTTGAGGACTGGAGCTGAAGGAGAGCTGTCTGCATTTTTCAGTAGGATTAGAAAGAGGGTTTTAATGGAGAGATGTGATGACACTCTACTGCCTACCCAAATTATCAGTAAATTTAATTTATTCTTAGTTAAGGGCACTGGATAAAAGTGGTGTTTTAAGTGATCTCTTTCACCCCTTCTTCAGATATCTCTGCATTACAAAAAAACGTGTAATGAGTCAGATCACTTTGTGTTTCTACTTCTGCAGTTAACAATTTAAGCTAGGTTTTCTTGAACTACCTCACACAAACTTTCTATGTTTCTTAAGTAAGCAAAGCTAACCCTTGGTATTGGAACTACACTGAATGTGAATAGAAAATACACTTCCTTTAGCATAATAAACCTACTGGCCAATGTTGAGACAATATCAGTAAGTATGTTTCTTATATATTTCACGTAAGATGTTCATGTGTAATATATAGCTCGTGTACAATAATGTACATCTAGATTATTGTGTTAGCTGTAAATTGGTGATTTTATTATTGTAGTCTGGTTTTGTAGGTAGAAATAGCTTACTAGTAATTGTCAGCTCATCCTTTACATTTTACAAAAGGAATAAATCTTGGTAAGCTTTGCATACAGATGAATTACTTTTGTAGGCCCAATATCTAGTCTATTTTTGAGAGTTCTTTAACTTTTATTACTAAAGTTGAGAAGAAAAAAAAAGCCACCCTAATTATTGTGATCATTCCTTCTGCCCCTTTTGAAGTGTATCCTTAGTTTTACTTTGTCCCAAGAAATATGAAGGGAGAGCTACACCATTAAAAATACTGGGAAAAACTGTAAATTGTTTTTTCTTCCCCACATTCGATACCTTTTCCCGCTTTTCCTTCATTCCCTCCAAAGAAGCTGTTGGTGGGGCATGACGGAGAACATTGTGGTTTTTTTAATCATTCATGCCATAGGTCATTACGTGTGCACCACTGGAATGTATACATTGTTATCTAGTATGTCAATTGGTTATAACGATATTTTAAATAAAAAAGGAAAGAAAAAAAAAAGGTTTGACCGCTATGCACGTAATGTTTCTTCATTGCTAGGCCGGAATGGATTTTTGTATGGATTTCATAACAAGGGTGCAGTTGGAGATTTATTAGCATCGGTCCTTCGTGAGAACTCATCTGGTTTTAATGGTATTTAAAGTCCTGTCTTGTGTGTGAGCTCACCTGAGGGCAAAGTGACATATTTCTTCCACTTCTCCACTCCCATGGTTTTTGGATGTGCCATAGACTGATAATACTGAGTGTGTTTGCAACCACTGGAATCTGTTCTTACTTCCTTGCTGCCAACTCTAGCTTCCTTCTTTCTTGGAAATACGGTGCTGACACCCTGCATTGCAGAAAGAGGTAAGCCCTGGGCTGTCCAGTGTATGGAAGGAGGACCCAGTCCCTGTGCCCTCAGCAAAATCTTTCACAAAACTGAGTCTCGGAGAAGCTGAAGACTGACTCGTGAAGCATACTTACTGGAGAGCTAATGGGTGCCAGGATCACTTGCTGCACTGGCACCTCTGTAGTGGGGCTAAATCCTAACGTGATGCATTTCATTGCCTTCATTTCCAGCAGGCTCTCAGCATTTCTTTAGACGAAGACTCAAGACACCCTTCAGCTGTGTTGGTCTGCATGCTGTTACTTCTTGAAGGGAAAGGTGCTGTGACCATGGGCAGTACAGTGCAGCCTGCTTTGTTTCTCTGGACCAGCTATTGGTGAGGTGCTCTTCTAAGAGTGTGGTGAGGCTCAGAGATGCTCTTTTTATATGCATATGTTAGCATAAATTGTAGCTGATTCCAAGTAATATATTAATATATAGCAAGGCCTGAGACAGTCTTAAGTCCACCCAAGGGTTTGTCTGTGGGTGAGCATCCCAGAACCAAAATGCTCCATAGTGCTGCTGACTTGCATGGACCTCACTAGCAAATGTAGATAATCGGTAAGCTATGAACGACCTACAGAAGTTTTTTTGTCATTTTGGAATGCTGCTGTTTGGCTTTGGAGTACTTTTTTTTAAGCATACACTCACGTTGGGTTTATTTCACTGAAAATTTTTTTGCACTTTTTTGTCTGCCTAATACTGGAAGGAGGGGTGTTCTACACTGGGAAGATTGTACAGGTAAAGCTACGATAAAAATGCATTTACTAAATTCCAGGAGCCTTTTGTCATATCCTATTAACACTAACAACCCTGTGTCTTGTAAATGCTTCTGAGAAAGCCAGCACCTTAAACTGGGGACTGTAGTAAGTGAAAGGTCTGTAAAACGAGGAGTGTGCTCTTAGATCCATGAAGTTGGCAAATGATGTGGTGGGAAAG